GCTGGTACAGAAAGGGGTGTTATGTTTGAGCGTCCGGATCGTTGGGTCTTTCAAGATTCTGTGCGGGTGGTTGGCAGGTGTTCTGGTTTGCTTTGCTTTTTTTCCCCTATCTTCTGGTTAAGTTTGTCTATTAAAAAGGAAATCGTACCTTCTTCCTCTCAGTAGAAGGCTGACGGGTGCTCAAGTGAGGTTTGATCATTCTTTCTTGTCAAAGCATCTGCCGTCCTTTTCTCTCTTCTTTCCTTTGCGTATTTGTGATTCTGTTATAATGCCTCTCACCTCCGACACTCGTATGATGTCCTAATTGTGTTGCAAGTACCGTAAAACGTTTGCTAAAATACAACTTTGTCTCAGTTGTCTCCACTCACTATTTTTTTTTCTGTTGATGTATTTTATCGTGTCGTTCGTCAGCTCACCTCTTTCCGCTCACTGTGTCGGGTCATTTTTTAAAATTTTTTTTTTGGTCGTGACCTTTTTTTTTTGTGTTACTCACAGATCTCCATTCTGTTCACATTTGGTCGCTTTTAAGCACAAGGGGGCTATCCCGAAAAATGCTGTTTTGAGAAAATCGAAGATAAAGATTTTCCCCCTTGTTCAGTTTCTTTAAAAGACAAAGGGATTTTTCTCTTTAACCAAACAAATATACACACCTACGAAACCAAACTTCTCCTATAGGTAAGGCAATGCCCGCTTTTGGTGCAGGTCAAGATTTCTGAACTCCCCTCGAAATCTGTGTTAGCCCGCTTGTCCTTAAATTAAAAGCGACCATATTTTGCCGTTTCCTACTTGTTTCACTTATCAGTCTTCATTCTGACCACGTTTTTGACGTGTCCCACAAGGGCAGTGCAAATGACTGATGTTGGTTTAGGCCATTCCCAAAGGGGGGATATTAACATGTTCTTATGCATAGTAGAATTGTAAATGGGCTGATGCATCAATGTCATGCTCATACTGTGCCGGAACAACAGAGGGGGAACGGCTGCTTTTTTCCCCTTATCTTTACTATCGTCATTTGTCCTCTACTTCTTTTGTATGTTTGTCCCTCTTGTGACCCGCTATTTCCGGGATGCCTTGATATTCGAAGCAGACTCTGTGCTGTTGAGGGTAGAGAGTGAGCAGAGTAAGCCTGTGTCCCCGTTTGGACTTCTCTGTTGACACCCACGCCTTGGCGCTCATATAACCGAGGCAGTTGCAAGAGCTGTAAAACCCTGTACTATAAAAAACAAACTCTGACTAGAACTAATCGGGTGTACCTCTTTTTATGACCTTTTTGACTGGCATTTTTGTCCGCATTTCTTATCATGCTCTTCTTCTACTCATTTGCCTCTGAACTCTGACTCTCAATGCACGTGCTGTAGTCAATGGTTTTTGCCCCC